AGAGAGAGAGAGAGAGAGAGAGAGAGAGAGAGAGAGAGAGAGAGAGAGAGAAGAGGGAGGAGGAGGGGGGGGAGGGGGGAGGAGATGACATCCACACATAGAAAACGGAACAGAAAAATCAGTCTTTGCTGACACGAAGTAACCAAGTGTCCTAAATGCCATCCAAACTTCCAAACCCATAAAATTTAAAAAAACATACACTGAAAAATTGGAAATCATAAAACCTCTCAAGTTTTCAACAAGGCCAGTCACTACCGTAGCTGACTGTGCTGCAGCAGCTAACCACACATACAAGTCCTGGACTCCATGATTAAGGTAAATTTGGAACCATCCGCACACCGGGCCCATGTGGCTGAATGGTACACACATTTAAATTTTACCAAACAGATCATAAGTTCAAGTCCTGGAGTACTCAGACGATTGCAAGTGCATGATGCAGGTAAATTTGAAAGAAACCATCACTACACCCAGCCCATGTGGCTGAGTGGTGCACACATGCAACTCTTGCCAAACAGATCATGAGTTCTAAAACTTTTAGTCCCTGGCAGACTCAGAAAAATACAATAATATTAGGGGCCGCACTCTTCAAATTTCAAAATGAAAATTGAAACCATTGCCAGTGCCGCTGATATCTGTCTGTCTCACTGCCAAGTTGCTCATGCCCTCACCCAGTTTTGCCGCACCAGGCTGAGTACTTGACTATCAAATTGTGTGCGCTACTCTACCCTCAACCAGTGGTTTGCTATATAGTTAAGAACTTAAGAGTAGCACACTTCCGATCACTGTCATCTTATCTTATGGCCTTTTTTAGTGAGCGTAAGGTAGGACTACTAGACTACTGCTTTACAAGAGAAAGAAAAGGGAGGACTACACTGCGAATTACTCTCAACTGACAACTATTCATGCGGAGACCCCTTTCAAGCATGAGGCAAGAGGAGTTAGAAATAAGGATGAAGTCCCAACTGGCCTAGCTCAGTCGGTACACCGCTGAACTGTTGAAACACAGACCTGAGTTCGAACTCTACCAGAAGCAAATGAGTAAACTACAACTAGCTAAGCACCCACGGTGCGGGCGGTTCGGGCTACGCCCGCAGGAATAACAAATGCAGTGGGTAACCTCACACTGACCGCAGACTTAAAAAAAAAATAAAAAAAAATCAAAGGGTAATAAAGAATATCCTCAAACCGACTCCTACTCGGAGCACAATTGCGTGTGTGGGTCCGCCGCCCTTTCTTTTTTTTGGGCGGGCGGGCGAGCGAGCGTGTGTGTGTGTGTGTGTGTGGGTGGGTGGGTGGGTGGGTGGGTGGGCGGTCGGGCGAGCGAGCATGTGGGTGGGTGGGTGTGGACAGGCGAGCGTGCATGTGTGGGTCAACCGCCCTTTCTTTTTTTTTCTAAATGAAAAAAGGGGGGACACAAAACGAACAGCCGTGAGAAAAACAACGGCCTAACGGGGGCCACAAAACGGCAGCCGCGGGAAAAAAAAACAACGACGGCCTACCGGGGGGCACAGAACGACAGCCGCGCAAGAAATGAAAAAAGGAAGGAAGGGAAAAAAAAAAAAAAAAAAAGGGGGGGACACAAAGTGACAGGCGTGAGAAATGAAAAAAGGAAAAGGGGGACACGAAACGAAAGTCAACCGGGGAAAACAAAACAAAAAAAAAAGCCCGCATATCGGATGGCTCGCCTGTGAGATGTTTGTCCACATCAACGCCAGCCGTGTGCCCCGCCCCCTGTGCGCGCGCTCTTGTTTAATGGCGCGCTGTGAACATTTCGGTACGCGCGCCCCTCTGCACATTCCCCCGCCGTCGATCGCCTTCAATCCGCCGCCCCTCACCAAAACTTCGACCCGAATCCGGCGCGCAGCGCGTCATGGACCTCCCCCCTGTGGCCAATGCTGCTTAAGGGATAGGATTAAAAAAAGAAAGGGAAACTTTTCGAAATGCCCCTGAAGTTTGCGTTTATTTGCGGCGTGGCCCTCTGGCGGCCGACTTACCTTGTCGTGCCCCTCTGACGACGAATGATGTTTCCAGAATACCCCTGGCGTCATTTGGGCCTCAAAAATGTTTCATATGCCCCTACCGGTACCGGTGCCAAATTTTCAGTATGCCCCTACCGGCTGCCCATTGAGAAACAGCAGTAAAGTTTCCCATATGCCCTTACCGGTACCGTCCATCTTTCCAGCAAGCCCCTGCCGCCGCTGTTGACACTTGCAGTCCCTACGAAGGGAAGAGGAGGGAAGAGGAGGGAAGAGGAGTAGGGAGGACCTTCAATTCGTCATCATATACCACCTGTCCAACAAACAAGTAAACGAAAAGATGACACAAACACACACACACACACACACACACACACACA